ATAATAAGTACCCTGTATCAAGATTGATGCAAAACAAGTGATATGTGACATTTTCAGACAGATTTAGCAAAATAAACCTCTTCTGGGGCCATTTGGTGGATTTTCCATATCTCTGGCCCCCCTTGCTCGATTTTGACATGTGACATCTCTTCCTGACCTTTAGAGCCAATAGAATCGAAGGGAAATCGTCCCATAGACTCTCATGTTAAAAAAAAGCTTGCGTCTCTGCACATGCAATCTTCTACAGAGCGTAGGAATATCCCTGCTCTGATATCTGGAAACGGAAAAGCAGTAATATTGCTTATGAATTATCAGAACATTTAAAAGGGGACACAGACACATTGTATTAACCTATGGATTAACTACACCATCGTTTGTATGCCATTGAAGACCAGTTTTGACCAGACAAAGACCAAGGTAAGCCATGTTAGCGTTTTTGTTTTGATGTAGGTTTTTGTTATTTTCTCCACGAATTTGTAATCGTTGAGTGTTGAGGTGGGTACCAATAGATTATGTGTCTCCTTACGATCATAAACGATGTGTTGGATCTGCAGCTAGGATAAGTAATAAGGGTGCTAGGAGTGATTTTCGGTGCAGTAATAGGTTAGCATTTTTCGCTGGGGCTAATTCAGAGGGTCAGTGTTAGTATTTTTTTTTTTTTCAGAACAAAAATGAAGTTAAATGAGTTTTTTCCCGTTATATGGATATAAAACATTCATAGTTTATTAAATATGAAGGTTCCTTAGACGTTGTTTCCTGCAAATGACGCGATTTTGGCCCTGTGACCGGGTCCGTGGAGCTTAAGAGGTTTTAACCACATATTTATAACTGAACTCATGATGTCTGTACCTTGCCAATGCAGTTGAAAAAAACAAGAACATAAAAAAAGAAACTAAGTACTTGTTGAGTAATTTAGGCCACTTTCGTTGTTGTTCAGAGTTTGATTCTTTATGGTTGTTGCACTTATTGTAAGTTGCTTTGGATAAAAGCGTCAGCTCAATGAAATGTAATGTAAAATGATTAATGTCCACTACCTTAATAAGATAGTATTTGTTTAACCCAAACCATGATGTTTTCCAGAACCAAACAAGTTGTGTTTGTGCCTTAATCTCAGCAAACCTTTATTTTAGAGTTGGGACACCGTATATGTTTTTTAAACAGGATTTGGTATACTTACTACGATTTACCTTTGTATTCAAATGACATACTTTGAAATGTAAACCAAGCACTACATTTAGTCAATTTAGAGTGAAGGGACGAGACAATCCTTGGTTTTCTGCTGAATTATCTATTCTCCTACATGAGAGAAACAAGGCCTGGGCAAAGGCTAGGAATTCAGGTTCAGAGGTAGAATGGCTGCATTTTAGGCAGCTAAGAAATAGCTTCACTTCACATGTCAAAAGTGCTAAATCTAAGTATTATCTGTCAGTTACCACAAAGAACCTGAGCAACCCTAGAAAATTCTGGAAAGCCATAAAATCGATATCCACCGGTGATATCCGTAATGAGCTACCTCCGTGCCTTACCACAGTATCTGGCACTATATCGGATAGGGCCACCATACTAAATTGTTTTAATGAGCATTTTGTGTCCTGTGGCTCTCTGTTTCATTATGTTTCTAATTCTGCTTCTGTGAACACCACAGTCAGTGACTCAGAACAATGTGGTCTGGAAAACCCCTTCAGTTTGACTCCTTTTACTGTTGATGTTGTTCGTGAAGTCTTAACCAAGCTAGATCCTAAAAAGCCGGCTGGTCCGGACAACGTAGAACCTTTCTTTTTAAAGATAGCTGCAGATTTTATTGCTCCACCTCTTACTACTCTTTTTAACCTCTCCCTCAGCACGAACAAAATCCCAAAAGTATGGAAGTCAGCTTATGTCCTGCCACTACTAAAAGGAGGGGAGGCCACCTTATTAAACAATTATAGACCCATCTCTAAATTGTCAGTTCTGGCCAAGGTTCTTGAACGCCTAGTGAATGAACAGGTAAAGGTGTTTTTATGTAACAATGACATCCTGTCTAAACATCAGTCAGGCTTCAGAAAGCAACACAGCACCATCACTGCCACAATGAAAGTGGTAAATGATATTACGAGTATTTTAGATAATAAGCAGAGTTGTGCAGCTCTATTTGTTGACCTATCCAAAGCTTTTGATACTGTCGATCATCGCATTTTGAAGCAAAGGCTGGTCAGTATAGGCATGTCCAGCCATGCAGTAGGGTGGTTTGTAAACTACCTCTCTGAAAGATCCCAATGTGTTCAGTTTGATGGGCTGTCTTCTGAGTGGTTAAACATCACTAATGGTGTACCACAAGGTTCAGTTTTAGGTCCGCTATTATTCTCTATCTATATTAATAGTTTAGGTGAAAATGTCGAAGGAGCAACCTTACATTTTTATGCGGACGATACCGTTATGTACTGTGCAGGTCCCTCGATTAACGAGGCTGTTGTTAAATTACAGGCTGTTTTTAACATTATTCAGGCTCAGCTCTCTGAGCTTAAGCTTCTTTTAAATGTGGATAAAACCAAGGTAATGCTCTTTTCTAAAGCTAAAGCTAAAAATACACCAGACACTGCTTTGGATATTGTAACTACGCAAGAAATACAACTTGAAGTGGTTACCTGTTACAAATACCTTGGTATCTGGCTTGATGATTGTCTCACTTTTAAACTTCATGTCAATAACCTGCTTAAAAAGCTGAGGGTTAGGCTAGGTTTCTTTTACAGAAATAAGTCCTGTTTCTCGCTTGAGGCCAGGAAAAGGCTAGTCACTGTGACCTTTTTACCTGTGCTGGATTATGGTGATTTGTTATATATGAATGCACCTGCCAATTACCTGAGCAAGTTAGATGCTGCGTATCACAGTGCACTGAGATTTTTGACAAATTGTAAAGCACTTACGCATCACTGTACCCTGTATACCAAGGCGGTTATGCTATCACTTACTGTACGGAGGCTCAGTCACTGGTACTTTTTCATTTACAAAGCCATGTTGGATAAACTACCATCTTATATCTGCTCCCTGATCTCTCTGCGAATTGAAAGTACTTATTGCCTGAGATCGCATGCTGTGGTTTTATTAAATGTGCCAAGTGCTAGGACTGTCTTAGGGAAGAAAGCTTTTAGATGTGCAGCTCCACTAACATGGAACAGTCTGCAAAAAGAATGGAAAATTACCAAGCTAGTACCACTACATGTTTTTAAAGCTCGGTTGGATGCTACAAAATCAGATGCTGTTGGTACCTGTACATGTGGTTAGATATGAAAATTGTAATCCCTGTACATTTTGCTGTATGATGTCCTTTTGTTGTTCTGTTGTTTATGTCTTCTTGTGGAACCTACTGCTGCAGGTCTCCCTTGAAAAAGAGATCATGGATCTCAATGGGATTTTACCTGGATAAATAAAGGTTTTGAATTGAATTGAATTGAAGCACTTACCCAAATGACATACTTTGATGTCTACGTATACCTATTAACCTTTGCATCCAAATATCTTGTTTGGATATGCACTATAGCACTTACTAAAATCCCATGCCATATGTAATTGATTTATATAAGATTACATGTTGGTGGTCTTTCTGGCTATTTGTTCATGGTTTAAGTCTGAGTAAGATAATTTAAATGTTGTGCATTCAAAAATAAACAGGAATTTTAACAACATAGTCTTTCCATTGTCTATCATTAAACACAAATAAAATATTTAAATAAATACATTTCCAATGCGGTAGGGACTGTAAGTTCTTAACTGCATGCTGCAAAACAGATCAACTTAAAGCAGCAGTAACAACAATGTGTAAAACAGCTTTAACCAATACACTAATATTGTCACATCCATCCTCAACCGCTGTTTGTCTCAACCACATAAAGGAAGGTCAATCCTGTGAACTTAAGCAGTTTTAGGTGATCACACTTGTCTTTTCCTCCTCATCGTTTGGGCATTTTATTATTAACACATTCAGGCTTCTACAGTGTTTCAAATCATAGGGGAAAAAAGATGACGACAACAGTTATTGAATGGCTCCCTCAAGTGGGCAATATTGTGAACAGGATTTTATGTTCAATGTGATTTTAAATCTTAAGTCTTTAAATGTACATACAACTGATATATTAGTTGGTTTCTATTTCAAGGATAAGATCAAAAAGAAGGCATCCATCTCATTGACGACATCTCAGACCCCCATTTTCTCAATTTAAGTTGATCTCTTAATGTAGTTCAACAAATGTTGGAAAGACTTACCTAAATTGTGTTTGTTTCCCTTAATGGTAGTGATTTTTCTCTCTGTAGATATCATATAGTTTGTAATAGTTACAATTTGGAAAATGTAATAATGTCTAAAAGATCTATTCAAGTTATCAGATCCATGTCATAGCATTTCGGAATATGTTATTCATTGGAATTCCTCCACAACTTAAATGTTTTATTACAATAGAACAGTTAACTCTCAAAGATGTTGTTTGAACAGTGGGTCAGTAGGCTTGTTATAGTTGTACATTTTGCAAGAGCAGTGCATTAAGCTGAACCATAGCTTCAGAGTGAAGAAAATATGAGCATAGAGCATTGGTTTATTTCTAAATGATAGTATAATCGTTAAAGGAAACAGTTACATTTTAATGAGAGACATCATATCTTCACTGCAAACTTAGTTTATTGCAACACCAAAAGTAAAGGACAAATCCAGATCACACTATGGTTATTGGCAAGAGGCATGTCGGTAAAGTTGATTATTTATTAATCCATCTATGTAACCCTGTATTTTGCTCTAGGTTCTGTTATTCTACTATTCAGCGATTAGATAATAATGAAATATTGATCACTTAATAATGAAGGGCAATGAGGACATTTTCTGATGGACACGTCTCTAAAGTTCAAGTTGTTTGATCTGTGGAGTCAGTAATGAATTGGGATGTTTGGACTAATCTGCTTGTTGCTGCAGGCTTTTTAGGGCAAATTAATGGTTATGCAACACCTTTTCAGGACACATGATGTGCAAAGGTTGTGTTTGCTTATGAAGCCAACACGATATAAGAGACAAACTTAAACGTTGTGAAAATTCAGATTCAGAACTTCATCATGATCGCATCTGTGGTTCTACTCTTGGGAGCTGTTTTGCTCCTATCGCTCTTCTTTCAGAACCACAGGACCAAAGAATTCCCTCCAGGCCCTCGACCGCTCCCCATCCTTGGAAACTTGCTGCAGCTCAATCTGAAGAACCCTATTGCGGACCTGGAGAGGGTAAAGTTAAATGATTTTACCAAGAGAAAATATTTTCTGAACATTTGTGCATACCGAATCATGCACAAATGATGGTTTATATATATATATATTAGGGCTGTCAGTCGATTAAAATATTTAATCGCGATTAATCGCATTATTGTCCATAGTTAATCGCGATTAATCGCAAATTAATCGCACATTTTTGATCTGTTCTAAATGTATCTTAGAGGAATATTTTTCAAGTTTTTAATACTCTTATCAACATATGAGTGGACAAATATGCTTTATGCTAATGTTTATTATCATTTGAACAATGACAAATATTCTCATGAATATTAAACACAACAACCTCTGAACATTACAAATATTCGCCTCAATTCAACCTAGAACCTCTCATACAATAATACAATACAAATGGTGTGTGTGTGTGTGTGTGTGTGTGTGTGTGTGTGTGTGTGTGTGTGTGTGTGTGTGTGTGTGCGTGTGTGTGTGTGTGTGTGTGGAGCCAGGGTCAGTGTGAGGTGTGTGCGTGTGTGTGTGTGTGTGTGTGTGTGTTTTGAAATTCAGTTCCTGACGGACGCCAAAAAAGCCCGAGATTATGGAATTAAACCAATAAATAAAAGCAAGGATAATTGTGTGTTATTGGTGAGTAAATAACAGTGTGTTATTTTGAAAAGAATATCGAATTAGAAGGAAAAAAAGATTTTAAAATACAGATTTCCGTATTCTGAGGCTCTGAGCCCCATTTATTTTCCTCACACACGGCAACAAAAGTCCGAAATTATACGATTTCAAATAAAAGCAATAACTGTGGCTTGATATTGAGTAAGAACATGTTTTTATGAACCACACAGCTTCCGGTCTTCCTCGACCCGACCGGAGAAAAAGACGTGCTGCAGGCAGTAGAAATACATTGCTTTTAAAATCGTGCTGTGCAACATGAAAAAAGGGGCAAATCGTGTTGGTGAACACGAATCAATAGATTAAAAATCGTGTTGGTGAACACGAAATGCCGTGAGACTGGGTTGCATATTCAGAGTATTTTCCTATTTAATGTGTGTGGCAAAAAATAATGACCATAGGGGCATAGAGCTGCCATCCCGACCATACGTCATCTCACATAATTCAGAGCTGATTGGCTGTAAGCAGGGCCACCCCTTGCCAACTTGGGGCCCCAAGCGACATTGTGAGATGAGGCCCCCCCCCCCCCCAACCGACAGGAGTGAAAAAATGTTTTGCAAATATAATTCCTGTTTATTATTATTATCAACACAGTTACTTTTTTATACAGTGAGGTAAATGTGCATGTATGTCGTTCAGTATGCGTTTACAGGTGAATACGTCTGCATTTCCTGCCAAATACTAGCCTCAAAAAGATTAAAATATAATGAATGCAAATAAACTACTTCTACTAATAATGATAATCATAATCAATTTAATAATAAAAATAATATATTGTTTTATTATAATATAGTTGTAATATAGTCAAGACAAAACATGCTTATGACATGCTCAAAAACTGATATTTCTTAAATATGTATTCAAATGTAGTTCCCTCTGTCAGCAATGTATCAACAACTACACACAGATCAGTATTTCTCTGTGTTGTGGTTGACATGATGATGACTGCAGGAGTTATTCATTAAAAAATGAATAAAAGGGGAAAAAATGCTCCATGTTTTTTAGGCTGTAAACTTGAACTGTTATGTAAGCCAACTAAACAGACAGTTTATCACTCTTCCTCCTGTATACATTAGCAGATCAAAGGCATCACATACTTGAATGGTAAATAAAGAATGCTGGAAATAACTGCATCTCCATTAGCCTATATGCTCTGCAGAGACCTTCTTCATGTCATGAATTGCAGCTGATGTTTTAATATGGCAATTGGCAATTTGACTTATACAACATTCGCAAGTTGTACATTTGACTCATACAATAACCCACCTTCGAGTGATGCTCTAGTTTCTTCATGTTTTGTTTTTTGCGCCGGACTGAAACTGTCTTTTCACCGACATCTCTTCACCTGCACTAGTGGCCGTATCAAAGCCGTGATTGGTCAGATGTCGATTCATTGCAACGGTGTCGGGTTACAGACGTGCTCCCCTTGTCACCTCTCACTCTCGCGGGGGGTGCGCGGAGAACTGAGCGGAGAACTGCGCACAGCAGCTGAGGCCCTCTGGGCGGGGCCCCCTGCGCAAGACGGGGCCCCATGCAGCCTGCGTGATTGGCCTGTAGGGAGGGGCGGCCCTGGCTGTAAGTATGTGTGCCGCGAAAAGTGTGGTGTGTGAAGAGGAGACGAGAGACGCGTCCTAAACCAGGAAGTAAGCTGCGCATGGCTACCCTCCACAAAAAAGCAATGAGATTTCTCCATAGGATTTTAGAAAATAGCTCAAAATAAGATCTGTGGGAAACGTACCTGTTAGATAAATGCACGTTTTGTTCAGCCGGATAATATCCACATGTCTACCCTACTTTTATAATTTCGAATCATAAATCCATCATTTAGATTTATGATAGACTTTTGAAACTACAAGAAGATAAGGAGGACTTTTACAAAAAAGTAATAGAGATTTTTGTCCAGAAGGATAGGCAAATGGACTTCATCTTCAAGTCAAGGTAAGACCACAATTTTATTGAAAATGGGATCTTACTAAGAGAGAACAATTCAATATTTAAATGATAAAATTACATTTTTTGGGTATCCTTTTGTTGAACTGTCTGTTTAAAATTATTATTATTATTATAATTGAAGCATCAGACTAAAGAGGCTTTTGAAAATAATATTATATTTTGATTTAGGTCAAAATATAATATTTGTAAACCTGAAGAGTCAGTGCCAGTGCCTCACCAGCCATGAACCTCACTGCAGAAGCTTATATATAGACATCTAAGTTTTTTGTGCCCCACCACTTTTGTACATATAGAAACGCCACTGACAATTTCAGAATCAAACAGAGCACTCTCATAATAACGTAACACTATCAGAGACTGGATATATCCCCCCCCTCCCTCTCCCTCTGGTTGCTACAATGAGGAAAATAAATTACGGGCCAAAAGTTGTATTTACAAGTATTAAAAGTAAGCAGAGGACACAAAACCAACTGAGACCTGTCTGTCCGCTGCATCTACACACACACTGTACCACACACACCTACACCACACACACGCAGCTCCTAAAACAGGCTACAGCCGTTGTGTATTTTATTATGTGAAGCACTAAATGGTTTTAGAAAAATATCGACTCTTTGTTTGTAGATATCTACTAAACTAAAGCAAATAAAAAGAGTAGGCCTGTTATACTAAGTGATATATATTTTACACACTGCTCTGCTTTCTGCACGGACCTCACAGCTGTTCTCACTGTAAACATCGCATCGCGATGAAAGCAGTTAATAAAATAATATCCAGGGGATGCATGCAGAGCTGTCATTGGCTGAGATAAGTCCGGCCGTGCGTCACGACTCTTTGAAACATCTCTGTTCCCGGAAATGCATCCACGAAGGAGCCGTGGAGGACCCATCAGTGTATCCTCGGTTAGAGCTCCTCCAGAGAGCCTCCTCGACGCTCGATCCTCGGTCCTCGAAGTGCATTTAGAGAAATTAGATGTCCTTCAACATGCCGCGCTGAAATTCATTTCCGGGTCACTACCGGAGGACCGAGGAGTCGAGGAGGGGGATTTGATGAAATGAGAAAGGGCCCTGGGCAGCGAGGGGGGAATCTGTACGGTCAACATTACATTTTTCTAAGGCTAAACAATGAGAGAGATTTTTTAACCAGTGATTGATCGAGGGGTTTTCTGGGTTTTTCCAAAAGACAGCTATTGTGTGTTTGGCTTGGAGAAGAGAAAAGACTACTAGTCTTTTCTTAGTGATATTAAGTCTGGGAGATAGAGGGAAAACCCCAAGAATACAGAGTTTTGGGCATTCTGGTAATGTGGCGGAAATTATTTTTGATAATGTGCCCAGAACATCTTTCCAAAAGGATTTAATATTTGGGCAGTCCCATAAGCAGTGGAACAATGTTCCCTTATCATTATCACACTTTGATCTGGAATATTTGCATCAAAATGGTGTAGTAGGGATGGAGTTATATAGGTACGCATAATCCATTTGTACTGTAGGAGTCTAAACCTCGTGTTAATAGTTTGAACCTGGGCTTTGTGGCATATCTGCCCCCATTCCTCAATTGTTACCTCTGCATTCAAATCAGTAGACCAAGCAAGTCTTTTATTCTCTGAGGACTCTCCTGATTCAGTTTTGCAAAGGTCATAGATCAAAGACACCTGTCCATGACCAGAGGAGTGATGTACTATAATTGTTTCCAGCTTTGACAGAGGTGGACATAATAGTGAGTGATTTTGTGCCTTAGATATATAACTCCTTAGCTGCAGATACTTAAAGAAATGTGATGTTTATTTTTTAGCATCTCAAAGGTAATCAGTTTGTTGTCATCATATAGATCACTGATCTTATTGATGCCTCTGTTGGCCCACATTTTAAACCCTGAGTCATATGTTCCTGGTATAAATCTTCTGTTACCCCATACAGGAGTAAAAGAGGATATCTGTGACTTTAAACCTAAGTGGCTTTGTACTTTGAACCAGAATTGTGTTACTGACAAAAGTGTTTTTTGTATTCTTTTTAAGCTGTTTTGGAGAGTCAGAGAACAAATACAAATTCAGTGGTAGTGGAGTTGTTTTATAACGTTCAATTTCAACCCATGGTATGGGGGTTCCGTCCAAGAACCAACACATTGCTGCTCTTATTTGGGCTGCCCAGTAATACCAGGACAGATTGGGTACCTGGAGTCCTCCTCTCTCATAAGGTAGATATAAAAGCGATAGCCGTAACCTTGGTCTCTGATTGTTCCAGATCAAATTTGTAAAGATTTTCTTCATTTTGGGAAAAAATGAGGAAGGCGGGTGCAATGGCAGGGATTAGAATAGATACATAAATGTAGGTAGGACATTCATCTTGATAATATTGATGCGTCCGATTAGGGATAGAGGGAGTGAT